CCCCAGACTTATCCAATGGCTGTGAACATTCTAAAGTAACACAAGTCTCATTAAGTGTCCAGTTTAAGGGTATTACACAGAAACACACCACAGGAACATGAATCAAATGTGTACTTTATTCATTTACAATAAATTCATAATGTACATATTTCTGATTGAAGCTAAGGGCATACAGCTGTCTAACATTAACAATTGAAAGAAAAATCAAGTGGCCTCATGAGTGCATGCTCTTTTCCTAGCTCAAATGATACAAAAATACAAAAATAGCCCATTTAACATATGAAAAAAATAGAGACCACCTTTAAGGTCTACTACCTTGCTATGACAAGCAAGAAATGCCAAGGTAGCTCAATATGTGTTGTGATGTGTTCACATGGTCACAATACTTTCTTGTGGCCTTCCAATACAACATTAACATGCTATCAATCAAAAGAAATACCAAATCACCCAGTGAGAGCATGCCTGGGTGATTTGATTTCGATGAGTTCACATGGTTACAACACTTTCTTGTGACCTTCCAATAAGTCATGAACATGCCAATAATCAAATTTAACCAAATCACCCTGCGAATGCATGGCTAGGTGATTACAACTTCTTCTTCTTCTTCTTCTCTCTCTCTATCTCTACCATCTAATAAAACATAGATATTCTGTCAATCAAATGAAAGACAAAATTACCTAATGAGTGCATGCTTTTTGTTGCTACCCCAAGTATAGTACATGAACCACCCACTCTCATATGATAAAATGAAGACTACCTCTAGGATCCACTACCTTACTAGGGATATCAAGAAATACAAAGATAGCCTAACATGTGGAATGGTGAGCTCACATAATCATAACACTTTCTTGTGGCCTCTAAAAAAAACCTGGACATGCTATAAGTAAAAGGTTAAACCAATTCACCTAGGGGGTGAATGCCTGGGTGATTTGGTAATCTAGAATAATTGCTTTCCTTAATGTAGTTGCCTGAAATATAGATAACCAATTATTTTGCAGTTTGACATGGTTTTGATCTGGGTGTGGTTAGTGTCAATGAAATTTGGATGTACCTTCCTTGCATTGTAGGGAAAATTGGGTCTGAGTTGCATGTTTCAGTCTCGTTTTCATGCTCATCTTTTTGAGAGAAAAAAGATCATAGATGTCGGAGTAAATGCCCTTGCATTGATAGTTCATGCATATTGTCTATATCTGCGAACAATGTAAACATATTGCTATGAATTTAAGAAAAGTGTTATTTTTCTATAGCGTTTTTTTTAATAAAAGTGGGCTTTGAAATTGATTGAGAGGGCAGATTGTATGGTAGAAATAATTTGTTCGAGTGTTACTCATTGGCATTAATATGTTGCAGGGCGTATTGTGTTTCTCAGTAATGATGGTGATGCCACACAAGTGACACCGCCGACACAAATGGAATTGAAAGGTGTTGGCTATTACTGAGAGCATGCGGTAGAAAATGAGGCACTGGTAAAGAGATAGACGGAAATTGTGGAAGCCCATAAATGAACATCATAAAACTCACATATGGAAACATGATTGTGAAAATGGAGGCATGAAGTAGTGCCTGGCTGCCTGCTACACATTCATTGATTAATTCTTTCTCAGAGGCCTTTCCATGATCTTTATTTTTTTGTTATTTCATTTCTTTGAAAGGAAAGAGATGTACTTTAGATTTGGTTCAAGTCTATAGAATGAAATCCTTGTCGGGAACATCCGAGAGAAACATGTTTTAGATAGAAAGTATGCTGTAATAATCTTTAGGGAAAATTTTGGATTAGTATCCTGTACTTTGGGCCTTGCGACACTTTGGTTCATGTGATAATTCAGTACCTGAACTTTCAAAACGTGTCAATCCAGTACCTGTCATTAATCAGCTATTAAGCCATTAAGTGGCATTTGAAAAGATATAAATGCCATTCGAGTGTTATCTAATTATTTTATTAACCATCCAAACATTGGCAAAAAATAAATAATTTCAAATCCTTTTTTCTTCTTTTCAAGAAAGTTGGGGTCACGTCACATCTTAACGGGCATTTTGGTGACATCAACTTTTTTAATAGAAGAAACAAAAATTTTGAACTGTTCATTTTTTGTCAACATTTAGATAGTTGAGAAAGAATAATAAATGATACTTGAAGGATATTTGTCTTTTCAAATGCCATTAACATCTGGTTAACGATATGTACTAAATTGGGTTTTGAAAGTGCAGATACTGAATTGTTGTATTTTAAAGTTTGGGAATCAATACCCCAAAGTACAGGATGTTGGCTGATAGAGAATTTTCCTTAATTTTTACATATTCTGCAATCCATCTCATCTTCGGATTGATTTGGTTTGTTGGCCTGTGGCCATTCGACTTCTTTTACTTGTTTTACCTAATGCACAACTGGAAGTTAGCCCATTGAATAACCTGAAACCAAATGATTTCATTTTTAACCTTTCATTTTATATAAACCCTAATTTTATCATCTAATAAGTCATTATAAGAATAAAATGGAAAAAGTGGCGTGGTATATTTAGATACAAAGATTTCAGATGTAAATGAATCAATTTTAACACGTTTCGGTAATGATGGCATTGGTCTAGTTGGATGATGTTTCCAATGATTCAAGCGCTATTGAAACCCAAGATGGAAGTGATTTCTCTGCCAAAGTGATCCTAGTCCTTGAAATCCTAAATGACTGTTCTTATCTCTGATTCAATATTAACGTTCCACCAATTAAGATGGCCGACTTGCAACGAAGCAGTTTTATTGTTTTACTCTGCGTGTTCATGGAACATCTATAACTGAATCTCTTTTTTTTACGTTGGACAGGCAAAAACCCTTCTGTCTTAGGACGGGTCGTGATACTCTGGGTTGGGCCGCCGGGGGGGCGGGGTTGGTGCCTTCTAAAGTTCTAATACCAAGGCCAACTGATCGTTGGTTTAGAGTTGACTGTTGAGAGCTCCTGCACAATTGACTTGCTGATGCTGAAGGGATCTTCTTCTGCCAGTAAAAGCATCGATTCTACAAGCCATGTCTCAGCTGCTTGCTGGTACCAAATTTGAAAACTATGCACTCAGTCAGGCTGAGGGCAGAGGGCCCGAACCTCTGTGGTGGAGATGTTCTGGTTGCAAACAGAATGCACCCTTTCAGTGTCGGTGTGGTGAGTGGTGGACACAAGGCTGAAAAAATGTCGTGAAGATTAGGGGTGGCAATTTTTCATCTAATTCATCCAACCTGTCCACTTATTTAGCGGGTTGTGATCAATCTATCATTCAATCCGCCTATTTAAATGGATTGAGTTGGATTGGGTTGTGGATAACCATTATAAACATAAATATTAATTCCTTAGCTTTTTTTTTTAATTTTCTTCATTTGAATTAAATAATTTATAATTAATGCATTAATTTTCTATTAATTATTAACTAAATTTAGTTTTGTCTTGAATCAACACACTTCACCCAACATAATCCAATCAATTTGACCCGAGTTCGGATCAGTTCAACGCGGTGTGACCCGATCCAGCATATACTGATCCGGGTCGACCTGAATCCGAATTAGACCCAGGTGGGATGGTTCGGTACTGCTTGCTCTACCTAGCTGGGTCATCCGGTCCTGCCAGTATCCACATATCCCAACCCGACCTGTTACAAGCCGATCCGGGTCGACCCTCGAATCTGAAACGGTTTCGAGCGGGATGGTTCGGTGTCTGCGTACTTTGCCCAATTTGGATCGTCCGACCGACCAATATCCACACATCTCGACCCAAATCCGGACCGACCCAATTTACTTATGTTGACCCACTTCGAGTCGGTCGGTTCGGTCCCAAACCCATGCACAAACCTAATATGGTATGGTCCAAGCCAATCCACCATTGACTGAATCAATCCAATCCGATTCGACTAGACTGATCCAGATCTAAACGGTTCAACCACCCTTGATGTGATTAGCTCGAAGATAATCCAATTAAATAGTTCAAGATGGTCTGACCGGTTTGAACCTAAGTGGTTCGGTTAAACCCAAAATCCGAACATAGTCAAATGGCTTTGCTGCTTGTGTAAAAATAACATGCATGTAATGTGATTTGAACATTCACCATTTATGTAAATACTAACTATAATTACCACCAAACTATGACCAACTTATTTGTTAAGAGAGAGTTAATTAGTTTTTTAAGTCCATAAATATAAGATTAATGGATTTTGGTAGGTTGGATTGGGTTAAAGTGGGTTTGGGTTGAACCCAACCCATTTAATTTTATATAACTGGGTCATTAATAGGTTGGCGGGTTAGATGGATTGGGTTTAAGGCTAATTTTTGGCCAAACTTAATCTCCACAGAAGGGGCCAATCCAATTGTCAGTTTAGTCCCGAATCCGACACTCACCATTAGCCATGTGGCTAGTTATGGGCCTGGACCACCCATATCAAAACTGTATCGATATCATCCAACGAACTCGTTGTCTACTAGCATTCCTCTCTCTCTCTCCGCTTCACACAGAGCTATTCTAAGGCTAAAAATAAGTGCTTATTTGAGTCATTAAGCACTTATTGGTATTTGGAAAATAAGCTCGAAATAAGTGCTTATTTTAAAAATAAGGGCTTATTTTTAAGTCCAAATTTCTAGTTTTTTTAAGTGCTTAAAAATAAGGGCTTTTTTTTAAAAAAAAAGGCTTATTCAATTTTTTTTTTTTCTTCTAAAATCATTCCCTAGTTGAACTTTAAAATACCACATATAAAATTATCCCTATTTGAATTTTATAAAAGTGCTTTTTATGAAAGCACTTTTACGAAATCACTTCTATAAAAGTATTTTTATAAAAGTACTTTTACGAAAGCACATTTATGAAAGTACTTTTATGAAAGCACTTTTATAAAAGTACTTTTACAAAAGCACTTTTATGTTAGGAAAGTACTTTTACAAAAGGACTTTATAAAAGTACTCTTATCAAAGTATTTTTACGGAAGAACTTTTATGAATGCACTTTTATAAAATCACTTTATAAAAGCACTTTCTTAAAAATACTTTTATAAAAGTGATTTCGTAAAAATGCTTTCTGAAAAGTGCTTTCAAATGGTATATTTTGAAAATTTGAAAAAAAAATGATCCAGAACAAAATAGTCACATACCTTATTTACTTAAGTACTTATTAGAGAAAAAGACTACAAGCGCCCAATATAAAATAAGTAATTATTTAAAAAAAATAAACACATGAAAAAGTTGAATAAATACTTATTTGAATAAACACTTATTTTTAACTTAAACACTCCCAAATATCACCTAATTGTGAAGAAATGTGGCATAACCCGCAAAACTTGCAGTTGCAGTCGCCCTCGGCTCATCCTTCAACCTGAAGAAGCTGACCAGCAAAAGGAGAGTTCCAAAGCAAACCGCTGCGAAGACAAAACCCGACAAAGAAATGCCTTTCTTGGTATCTCCATTAGTGGGGAATCACCAGTTGGCCGAATTATCGTTGGCCTCTACGAAGATGTTCCAAATGGCTCTGCTAGGTTTCGAGTAAGTGGAGCAGAAGGGATTCGTATTGGCTACAGAAAAAGGAGTTACAACATGGAGGAGTTAGTGGATTGGACGTTGACAATCTCGTCAGAGAATGGAAAAAGGTGAGTGTGAAATGTCCAGGGACCAAGATTAGGCATGAGACAGCCTCCAAAGTTGAAGCTTCTCGCACGCAAAGGGAAGCTGGAGATTGACGAGGAAGAAGTGGGTATAACCCAAATGGAACAGAGTTTTTGATTGCCATCACTCCAGAGATTCTTTGGATCTGGATGTGGTGTGGCCGGTATTCCCCAACGGAGGAGGAGGAGGAGGTTCTCAACATCAGATCAGAGAATAACTAGCAACATCAAGAAGCTGCATTGCAACAGTTGAAGATGGAACCGTGGAAGCAGCCATATAACGCTTAGCCTCTTGGCTTTGCAGCTGGTCAAGACCAGCGATCTTAGCCTGTGTATGTAGACGATGGTAAGGATTTTGGGGCGTCTCCATGGCTCTAGAGCGAGACCAAAAATGCCTTGACGCAAAATACCAAATTATATTCAATAATCAATATTTAGGTTACATAACTAGGTTGGCTTTATATAATGCAGAGAGAGAAGATTACGAACGTTTGATGGCCAAAACATTTTACTAAAATGGCTAAACAAAAAGGGTGGTTGGAACTTGGAAGCTGTGAGGCGATTGTTCAGCAAGATATCTGCTTAGTTGGTCGGTTCTTCGTTACGTGGTTTGATCGTCACAGTAATCTAGGTGAGCAAAGTCAGGGCTAGGTATTCCTTTGCTCATCGCCCTTAGGCATTTTCATTGAATTCAATTATGAAAGGATTACAGGTAAACTGTTTTATCACAACTGGGTTCCATCTTATTGCAACTATGAGAACCTTGAGCTCATCAATGGTTGTAGGAAGAGTCATGTTCGGGATAGACGTGGTTGAGAAGATAACATAGGTAAAAACAGCACAACAGAATACAAGCTCTCCCTCTTTACGGTTGTAGGAAGTCACAAATTTATTCCTTCACCCCCTCTTTAGCGTGCCAGTATGCCACACTCTCACATTCATTTTTGTTGCGCGACGCGTGTGTGTGTGTGAGAGAGAGAGAGAGAAATCAAATGGGATCGGATTTATTGTTTCATGTAAATCCATTGATCTCTCGTGCAAACACCGTACACTGTTCAGGACATTTCAAGTAACTTGACTTAGGTCCAGTTCAACGCGGTTGAGTGCTCTGGTACAACAACCGTGAATACTCCATCAATCATTCTATATCCCAAAATTTGGTTCTCCAACCTTCAATTCTCAAAGACAAATAAGTCTAAGAGATGTTTAGGTTGGATATTGCAAACCCTCTTTTTCTAGATGAGAATGCAACAAAAGAGATACTTCATTTTGTTATTTCTCTATTACATACCAGTAGAGGTGCTTCAGCTCTCAGAGTGCATGAGCCATTTTTTATATGAAGATTCCATTTGTTAAACATGTTCATTTTAATCTTCAAATCCCACAGAAACTCCATTACTAGTGCTTGATGATCTTTTAGCTTGGTTCAAGAGTATGCTTCATCCTTTTCGTGGAGGGAGACATGAAAAGCTTTCGAACTGAAGCAATGGGATCATCCACCTGTGGAAAAGGTCAAAGTGCAGAGCTGAGAAACCCTACTTGAAATAATTGTTCTTGAATATAAAGATAGAATCAAGACAGTAATAAATTAACATGCCTCAGACATGGATGAAGATGAAACAGAGTCCGCCTGTAAAGGATGAGAGCACTCCTTCCTGCGATCTAAGGCATAAAGTGTTTGCTTCCATCCAGGCAATGAATTGGCTGTTGAGGATATCCAAGGGCAGAAATGTCTGTGTTGTTTGATTGGATCAAACTTCATAGTTTGGTCAAGTTCATCCTTCTTTTGATCCTTCCCTGCAATTACAGGAATGCTCTTATAAAAACTTGCAAAACTAATGTGTCATGGCAATTGGCAAAACGAAAAGACTGACCAAAGTTTGAGCATACACAAATGTTTATAAGATGAGCACTAACATGAGAGTATGTAAATAACAACCAGAGTATACAGGATTTCGTGATCATGAAAGCAATTGAAGTTTAAAAACAAATCAGGAAGAACAGACAGATTAAAGTACATCATCACCATCTAAGCCTTGTCTGAAGTTGGCTAACAAACAGATTTTAATAGAGGAAGAAAAATCAAGGGCTTCATCAATAGAATTAAGTGGAACGAATGAAGAAATTACGTATATATGTGCTTCATATCATGCATGAAACTAGAAAACTGTACATGAGAATTTTATTCACATAAATAAACTTACCTTCAGTCATGTCAAAGATCAAAATGAAAAATAGACAACTGCAGAGTTCTCTCTAATTTTCTATGTACCATTAATCCTAGAAGCACGTTCCAATGTGAAGGTGAGAGTTGCATAAAATGCATTTACTAAAGTTGCACATCAATAAATCAGTGTATCAAAGGGCCTAAGGCATTAGGCAACACCTTGTCTCTGTGGCAATGTCAAGGTGTATTGCCATTCTTGTCAAGGTGTATTGCACCTAAGAATGGCTGTCAAAATTAGAAATAGGGGTGCAAATGGATCGGATCATGATCCAATCCGATCCCATTTGGCCAAATTCGGATCATCCCTGTTCGGATCTTCAGATTGAATTCGGATCCCCCCTACCCGATCCGATATATATTATATATTTATAAATATTTTATATTATTTATTTTTTATAAAAAACCATGTATATATATGATGAGAATAATTAAAAAAATACTTCTATTTTTTGTTTTTACTTTATTTAAATTAATATATTTTATTTTTCTTTTAATAATTTATTAATTTTTAAAGAAAACAAGTTGGATCGGATCAGATCCAATCCGAAGATACGACTTACCGATAGGATTCAAATTCAAATTGAGTCCTATCAGATCTGATCGGATCCGACATGAACAGTGTCAGATCGGATTCGAATATACCCTGATTCGAATCCAATCCGATCTGTTTGCATCCCTAATTAGAAATATCTGTTACATAATAAATATATCTAATTACCAAGTAATTGCATATATAACTGGTAGAAACAACTCCAAAACTCCTTTAAAGGAAATAATGTTAACTTCAATCTCTCTAATTTCTATCTTCTCCCTATCCCTCCAAGGAAAAAAAAAACTCATCAGACCTAAACTGCTGCAAATTTACCTATTAAAATGTTAATAATGTTACATACTACAATCTTAATTTATTATATTTTTAATATAAAAAAAGCTACATATTGAGATCTTTTCTGCAATATATCCAAGTGCCATGATTGCCTTAATGGCAACCATGCTAGGCAAGTCAACTGCCTAGTGCCTAGGCAACACTGAGTATATTTCAGCATACACGTGTTTATCACACTAAAGCCATTCAAATAGGCCTTAAGCTTGTAAACAAAATCCCAATTACATAAGAAAAAGGGAATTTGTACTAATGCCCTGGAAATTCTTTAACCACCTCTGAAATCTGCATTCCAATTTCAACGGAAAAAGTATGGTACTGGAAAGTTGCAAGTGAGGGACATGAAGGCAGACAGCCAACTCTGCACCTATAACTGCAAGCAGTCTACTGGATCCCAACCACATGCTTTGAAACTGTGCCAAGCTGGACATTTTGGACCTTCAACCAAACATATCTATATATGTATGTATTTACTAAACCTGGAAGCTATAGTTAGGCTAAGGGGATAAGGCTTTGTTGAATTGTTGAGTGTGTGTGTTAAATTGAATTGGGACTACACCAAGAATGAGACTAAACCTGGAAGCATACTTTTGATAGATACATTAAAATGCTGGGATATGTTAAATTGAATGACACTACACCAAGAATGCGCAAGATCTATTGTTGAGTAATTGAAGTTCTAACTGAGCAAAACCCTTCATTGCCGGGGATAGGGGTGTCCATGAAAAACCGAAAAACCAAAAAAAACGAACCGATAGGACCGGTTCGGTTTGCAAAACTTGTCCATGACACCCCCAGCCAGGGAGACTATAAAACCTTAGCAATACTTCAATCACAAGATCTCCCTTCATATTGAATAATTGCTAATGTGGTTAGTCCTTCTAATGATTACTCACTTTACTGAGTAGTCACTCTCTAACCAAATGCTGCATCACTGTGTATATGCATTACCACTTGCTAGATCAAATGCAAGACCATGCTATTTAACAGAATAAATTTGCAAGGAAAAATACACATGAAGATCTATGGATTCAACCCAGAAGAAAATACTCACCACTGAGAAGAGAAACAAAGGAATATAAGAAATTTTGAGAGTTTAAACTAAAAGAATATATTCATTGTTCCAAGAATGTCTAGAAATTGTGGTTTTCACTAAAGAAAATAAAAAAGAGAAGTATGAATATGTTATAATCTTGGGAAATGATGGCTTATGGCATGCATATAATCAAGTTGAGGATTTACAAAAAGCAAGAATACTAAACGAAGGCAATAAAAGCACACTCAAAGTTATTAAATGTGATAATATGAAAACAGAACTAAAAGAAAAAAAAACATAGGTTTACCAAACCCATATTCCACAACAACTTCGTTAATGACAGAAGAGTGCAGCCTACCTTTTGCTTCCTCTACTTTCTGTTTGTCAACTGCTAGGTCCATGGAGATATGGAAATCAGGACAACCCTTTCCCAGATTTATCTTACTGGACAAATCCTCATTTGCATTGACTTCCAGATGAGATGCAGCATGTAAAGATTCATGAGTGTTATCCTCTTGATGATTGCAACAATCAGCTTCAATCATCAAAGATGAGTTGTTCTTACTAATTTGCTTGTTCCAATCTGGGCCATTAGCATCTTCAGTTGTTTCAGGAATTGAATCTTTAACTTCAACGGTAAGGCTAACTTGTTTTTCTGCATTCATATTTCTAGCATCTTCTGCATCTTCATGCAATGTATCATTTTGATCTTCCGAGTCTTTGCATGCACCAATTGCCTTGTGGGAAGGAAGTCCTACTATACTGGTATCTTCTGGAGAGATGTCATGATCATATGCAACTGTGTTTTTCATTCCACTCAAGTTCTGGTCCAAACAAGACACCTGACCATCATTTCTAGAAAGAGAATGTCCATCATTTGTTTTGTTTTTTGAACTCTCCATACCTTCTGGCTGAATACCTTGTTCATTACGAGTGTCAGCGTCATCTTTTTCTTGCTGCGGCAAATTGTTTTTCTGCGACTGGAATTGTACATTTTCTTCATTCATGCACGATGTAGTAGACAAGATATGATATCTAGCATCATAGTTAGTAGATAATCCAGCTCTCAAATGTCGGCTGATAATGGGCAAAGAAACTCTTGCTCTGTAGTCCTGTTTTGTTGGTGGAGGCCCCCCTGCAATTGTCAAATTTAATTTCAGTGATTTTTCTTTTGATGATGTTGCACCATTGCAGCCAGTATCATTGGTGCACCCCCTATTATCAACATGATTTTCCTTGTCTGCATTGTGAGCTACTGGATTCCCCAAGGCATAGCTAACTGCATTTTCACCAGGATTATTTGAAACATTTTTACCATTGACCTCAGAAAATCCAACAAATCTGAATAGTTCCAAAGGCTGTGGAACAGTAGCAAAGGCCCATAATCCAACACTGGCTCCACAAAGCCCACAATCTAGAACAACAGAATCTGGATCAGATTGATGTCCAAGAGTTGGGGAGTCATTATCCACCTGAGTAACCTCATCGTCACTGGAACGTGGATAGATAACAATACCAGAACCATGTCCATTAACAATCTGTGGAGAATACCGTGAAAGCTGAGCATCTTTTGCAGATTGACTTGCTAGATCTTTGCATTCAACCACATAAGGTAATAAACGAGGTTCCCATCCACATAAACTGATGAGCTTTTGAGCCTGCAAAATGCTTCAGCTTTCAGCTAGCAATTAGAAGGTGCAGTTACAAACAATTAGGAACTGTTTAATTGAGGAAAGTAATAATGAATTGTGTGCAAGAAATTATCAGCAGCAGACATTATAAACACTTTAAACTGAGACAAAAATACAAAATGAAGCAATCTAGAAATGCAACAATGTTACTATTGATGTTTACAAGGGATATACAACACAGAATTATCAACAGCATGCACAAGAAACTGTATAATTGAAACAAGGATTTGGAACATTTTTTGACTTATTAGGGATTTATGCTTTTTCCTTTGATGGATAGGAATTTGATACGTCTTTTTCTATAAATATAGGAATCTAAAACTTCTTAATTTATAAATTGATTTAAATGGAAGAAAATGACAAGGAAGTATGGAAGGAAGGATTACTTAATCCTAGCCAGAAAGGAAAGCTATTTGACCCCAAGAAAACAAAAAAGGGTAACTAGATAACTAGTGAAAATCATCTGAGGGATCTCTGTTGGTCTTGTATGACCTATCATGAAAAGCCCTCTCCACAAAACAGGTAACTAGTTAAAGTTGATCATCAACTTAACTTTGTCAACTACAGGGCTTGGAGTTGCAGGAATAATAGATCTAGCAACTTCCAGACCTGACTGCATTACATGCCAAACAGGTTAAATGGATGTTAATGACTGCAAACAGACACTGAGAGGACATTAATTTTCTTGTCCATTAATAAAAATCACTTACAAAATTTACCTCATGAAATATCAGTAACAGCAAAACATTGACATGATATATTCCCAAAAAAGAGAGCTTATCTAGAACATGTGGGAAGGTCTGTAGGGCTAAAATTTTTTCCATGATTAGGAGAGGAATTCAGAGACTCCTGTCCGGTGCCAAACTAATTTTCCATGTAGTTTCCTGTATAGTTTAGATTCCTTAACAAAATGGCCTGACTAGCAAACTCATTCCCGAAACAACCCAGGAATCTTTTCATGTGGCAGGTCAAGTTAGTTTGGAGCTTAAAAGGAGTCTCCATATTCCTTCCTACATCCTATACCTATAGAAAAAATCTGGCCCAAGAAACTATGCAACATTTTCAACTCATTTTCATAGCTAACTTTAAAATAAAAAAATTAAAAATTTAAACTTAGAATGTAGGGAAAAATCCTATACAAGGTTCCATATTAAGCTGATGTGAACAGGGGGAATGAACACATTGCCAATCCAGAGGGTCCTCTATCTGATAGACCATAGAATTTATCCACATTGCAAACATAGATTGGGGAGACATATACAGCTTCTGCTAGTAGAATTAAACCTGATAATACAAGTTGGAAGACCCTGTATCCAATTGATTGCCTAGGTACTCAGTTGTAGAAGCATCAGCAGATTCAAAGCCATAGTCTAGCAGTGGAGATTGTTTCAGAAAGTGTTCCAACTGAGGGCTCCTCATAGAATCAATAGCTGAAGATGAAATTACAGGAAGAGCTGAAAGTCCCAAAAGTGCACGAGAGCGCTTTCTGTATCCATCAACCAAAGCGGGAGCAGCTGTTGGTGGAAATTGTGCTACTGCTTCATCACAAGCATTGTCGATCCATGGACAAAGTAGTTTGTGCCCATTATCCAGTTTTAAGCTGAATACTGCTGCTGCCTTTTCAACTGAAAGAACACATTATGGAATTGTCATATCAAGTCAATGGACTAGAATATTGCTGACAGTTTGCCAAACCAAGTCATATTGGTTGCAATAGCAAGTAGCATTACCATACCTTGCTGCTGTGTCCAAGAAGAAGGAGTGGAGAAGAGGAGGCGTGCTCCACATGCCTCACAAGCAATGATGTCCGTTTCTACATTGATCCATCCTCTCCTGGAACAGTTTACAGCACTCATTACCTGAATAAGATGAAAGACACTATCATTTCCAGTTTCATAACATAAAAGTAATGCTCCACAACTTAACCATGGAGAAAAAAAGAAATATGAAATTGTTCATCCTTCCATGCTAAAATGTTAACAATGTTATTTATATACACCATACCAAATTTTGGCTTCTTCACCACTAATATTAAAAAGTATGGAAAGCAGATCAGGTGACTTATAAATACCTACATAATGAACTACAAACTAAAGCACACAACCAATAAACCAAAGCAGGCACCATAAATAATAAATAATATAAATCTTCAGCTAATGTATTATCTAAATCACTGAGACCATGAACGTAATCAGAATAATTTTCAGCTAAATCTGTCACTACAAGCACTATACTAAAATGTTCCCTATGATAAATATCAACGAACGCATTGCATGAACAAGGACAGCAACACCTACAGAGAATAGGAAAGGAAGCATCAGTCCTCATAAAACTGCTTGGAAGTGGCAATATCAAATTTTCTAATGATTCTATTTTTTGGTCAATCTGAGTTTCTTTTGAGTTATATTATAAGGCCTTTATTTCAAGCAGGTTGAATGGAATAATAGCAGAAAGCAATGTTTTAAAAAGATGGAGGCAGGCATTCCACTATCCTAATGTGTGAGGTGTAAACCAGAATACAAGAGGCTCAAGCCTCCTGGGCATAGATTTGTTAATTAATAAATAAAAAATATGGTAAATATCCAAAAAAGGAAAAACAAATATGAGAATTTAGAAATTTTCACGTTTTCAGTTTATAATAATAAGATCATTACATATAAATATAAAACTGAAGTATCATCAATCATAATCATGTATACTGAGCTATCAGCACATCACTTGCAAAGTTGCAAATCACAATTTCAGAATTAACAATTCACATAAATTGCATAACATTAACATAAACTAGTGTGCAAATTCATATTTAGATGAATGTAAATCATTGAAAGCAATTAACAGCAAGCATTTTTTACAATTTCAGGTGAAGCGTGTATTACTGGTTACTAACCTTTTTTGGTAAATACTGGTGGGTAGAGAGAACTAAGATGTAAAAATATAAATGCAAGAAGCATCTTTACAGCTAAAGCTTATGCCTTGTCCTTTACAGCTACAACTCGAAGCTTCTTTTGCTTTAAGGCAACCAGAAAACATAAGATGTCTGCTTGTTTTCTCTATCTTAAATGAGATGGATTTGTCATTTGGCAGATTTTTCTCATTTATGTTATGTTAATATGTAAAGGGGAACATGATTAAATGGTACCCTAATTTTTCTCATTTGGCAGATGCCTGCTTGTTTACACCTTTTTACATGCCTGGAGCTTGCCTCAAGGTGTACACTTCCAGCACTATTTACAATGCTGGTAGAAAGCTTCAATCATAGTTTTTTATTTGAAATATGCTGTCCATCATTGCTGAAGTTTGTAGTTTTCTTCCCATGTGGATCTAAAAACAGGAAGGGAATCCAAAATACCAAATCAGGAGTTGGATCAAATGTCGGGTAGGAAAAACAACTCAAACTATTGCGTTACGCATCATAGCGTAGTTTATTTAGCTCATTTCTAGCTGACTGATAAATAAAAGAATTAACAATAATTAAAACAAATAATGATGTTTTTAGATTGTTGATAAAGAGGGGAAGAGGGGCGAGAGTGATGCCAAAACCGAACCTTGGGCTTGCCGAACCATGTCATTGACTTGAATGTGGCTAACCTCCTCATAAGATCCCCTCGATCCCACGGTCTGCAAAGCGGAGCCTGCGCCGACCCAACCTGGACGGCGGAACAATTCAGCCCTCCGACGGTGTCCCTTCCCGAGCTTGATTCAGCCATCGACGTACTTAATGTAAAGTTCCCGCCCTTTTTACCCCTTGAAGACTGTATTTCAGGTGAACTAGCAAAATCGAAACAAAACAAGATTAATTAAAAACGTTGCATCTTTAGCTGCTAAAAACGATTAGAATCGTCTATACGATCCAAAGGGGTACGCATCCAGGTGAGAAAAAAGAACCTGGGGGCACTTCTGGGTCTGGGAGCACGGAAGAGCTTGTCCATGATAGAATTGAACCTCTTCTCTGAATCTTCAGCCATGGCTTCTGGACGATCCACGCGGCAGTTGAGCTTTTTATTCTGGAATCTTCACCCTGCCACTGAAACCATGTCTATCTCCCTCGGTCTCTGTCTCTGTCTCCCTGGATCTCGATAACGAATGAACTCCCTTTTGCTGATACTCGGAAGGGTTCGGACTTGGGAGCGTGAGTCTAGTCCTCAAGCCGTCGAGACTCAAGAGTTCCTTGAACACAAAACTGGCGTGCAGGTGCCGCCCAACACCGCTAGCCCCAGTTTCGGGCTTCTTCTAACCGTGAGCTAGACAAGCTATGAAGCTGATGAGTAAATGAGTAGTTGGGCTACATACACCATTCGGGCCTTATGGGCCACCATACATCTTTCCCTTGTTCAGGAGGCCCATCACAAAACCTTATGGGCCTTCCCATCTACATTTCCTTTTTTATTTAAAAATTAATATATATATATGTACATGTACTATTATGGTAATAAGGGAGTGAAACTTCTTTTAACCAAAATACTCTTATTTTAGAATTTATTCCCTCTCTGATTGTGAGCGTTAAAAATGTATTTTGAATTACTACTTTTCACCTCACTTAACTGTCATTCTCTATTATTATACCTTACATATATTTAACCATTATTTTTTCACAAATAGATTTTGATAATTGGCCCAATACTTTTAACAAAATAAAACCCATGTTTTTAAACTGACCCAAACATGAAACCTTCTTCTATCCACATAGCGGGTAAGAAATTCAACCATCCAAGTCAAATGGGTTGAACTCATGATGTCATATTTAAATAATAATAAGATAAAAACACAAAAATATGATAAAATATATAAACTTTGTAAATAAACATTGGGTTACGTCTATAATTCATCATAACAAATTAAAGTAAGTTTGACAAACAATAATGATTTTTATATGCAAATAAATAGAAAAAATTGGACACATATTATTCCATCCTCATCTAAATTTGTTATGTGCAAAGAATGTGCACATTTTCTAGCTTAAAAAAAAAAAGCAACAAAATCCATTTTAAGTATGGATCTCAATGAGTTGGGTAAAATGATAAACCCAGCTTGACCTAACCATATAGGGTCAGGTTAGGGTGAGGTCTATTCAAGTACAGGGTTGAGTTAGGGTTTTTATTCCTTGACCAAGGTTGGGTTTGGATTTTGCCTAGGGTGCCCAACAAAAATCGAAATGAAGAACCAAATCAAACAAAAAAAATTGGTTAACCAAGCTGAAGCCGATCAATTCGGTTTTAGTTCAATATTTTTCAAAAGCTAGTAGTACTAATTCAGTTTTTGGTTATGGTTTGAAGGAAAAGGTAGGGAAAGGAAGGGAAAGATAAGGAAACCCATACAATGTTTGTAAAGGTTTCCCTACATTTCCCTATTTTTTCCTTCAAACCAAACACAACCTAAAAGAAAAAAATCAACAGCTAACCAAATTTACTGGTATATATATTTATATATTGTATGCATTTTTAATATATTATATATAGAGATCTATATGCATTATATATATAATTATCTATTTATAATAAAGTATGTATAATATAATATACATGTTTATAATACATTATATTATATATTGCAATATAATAAACCAAGAAATCACAGAACCAAATCGGTCAAAAACCAAACTGATCAACCAGTTAACCGATTGGTTTTGATTTGCAGTTTTTAAAAAACCGATGGTATTGGTTTGGTTCCAAAATAATCCCATGAGCACCTCTAGTTTTGGATGATCCAAATCTATAAAGTCAAGATACTCCTACATATTTTACATTCATGGGTTTCAAGCTCTTTTTGATGAAATCTAGGTACAAATCAAGGCTAGTTACCCAAAAAAAAAGCTAGAAATTAAGGTTGAAAGTATTACTGCACGTGTTTTACATTCCATTTTTTATGTGGGCTTTATAATCCTATATTAGAAATACAGTAAAAATAATAATATATTGGGTAAAAGACTTAAACATACCCTCATGTTTCATAAATCGACTTAAACACACCCTAAGTTTTGAAATTGCAATTATAAACTCTTTTACCTTTCATTGTTTTTCAAAATTTCAAAAGAGAACCATAAAACAGAAACCAAAGAGAAAAATGAAAACCTACTGTTCAGGTTTAACTTATGAATTGGCAGACTAAGTGTTAGAGAATAAAATTTATTCAAGGACCTCACTTAGAACCGAATTTTTCTTTCAAAAGTCATTAGATGAAACCCACCGTCAACCAAGTATACATTTAGTATGGGAATTTTTTTTCACATATTTCAAGAAAATTAATTGCAATAGAAGACCAAAACAAAAGACATAAAGGGTTCTCTAAAATAACAACCCGTGCTGGTTGGCGAGAAGAGTATAACGAACAACGACCCTTATCAATCAGCGGGGATGCGGTTAAAAGAGTTCAGGTTTCCATGCTCATCATAAATCTCAAGTTTTATGCGGAAAGAATAGAGGAAGAAGTCAGAATGGTGGATGTATGATCCTGATGCCTTGAAATTCCTTGCCAATACCTCAATTTGATAGAAAATTTCTATGTAAAATAATGGTTTCAGCTTTTGGAACAATCTCCCAATCTCTCTCTATGCAGTCCGTGTTTTCTTGCTTTGTTTTTGGTACTCTTATCTTATTGGCACAATATAGTAAGCACATTCAATGAATATGTAATAAATATTTTGACAATTGTTGAAAATGATTTTTAATTTTTTTCAAAGATAGACTTGGGGTATTTTAAGAAACAGGTGTCAAAAATTTTTCTATGTGCTCACAACCTTGTGCCTACCTGACTTCTTCAACTTCTACACGTCATAATTCCAATTACCCTACGTCCCCACCTTGATATCGCTGGCATGGTCACAGATCCATACAGGATTTATCATTCAAGGGTTAGAACCTAGTGGTAGAAAAGCTATTGTTATTTGTTAGTATTAATTTATATTCTATAGCTGAATGAAGCTCTGATTTGATAGTGCAAAGCAAATAGGTATCAAGTATTGGTACGTTCTTGTATGTAAAAGCCCAATAGAACCAAGCAGTCAGAGAGATGTCCATGTTGAACTTAGAAGCATTTCAATTGGCATAAATAGGGTCTTTGAAATATTAAAGAGATCATTTAAGTCACATGCATGCTAACCTTTCCTTAGTACAGGGTATTTTTAAGTCTAATTGGGTCAACCTACAAGGTATATTTAAGTCCACCTTTTAATCATTTTTTGAAGTCTTAGGGTATGTTTAAGTCTTTTACCCTAAAATATATAAAGATGCTAGAAAATACATGCATGATGCCTATTTTAGGCTATATTTAGGAGTGTCCAATGGGGCTTTTTGTTCGGAGAAGTCAAAAGTCGATAAAAATGGTTTGGTGAAAAACTCCAAACGGTCTTTTTGCATAATTGGTGACCAACCAATAAAAAGTTCTGTTTCAGGAAAGCTCGTTTTATAAAGTGGCTTTAGGAAGAATTTGGGTATGTGCATACTGCATAGCATGCATAATATTTGGATTTGTACATATTTTATATAAGTGTGGGTCATGGATATTTACACATAAAAACATACACATATTACATATGTATACATACATACATACATACATACATACATACATACATACATACATATGCAGACCATAAATACGTAATTAAATGTGTCTGGAATACAAATCAAAATGATGTAGTCCCCACTTTATATGCGATAGAATTGAGGTAAGGAGATGATGGAAAAAATTTCTGCAACAAAATTTATTGCCAATTGGTGCATTAAATGAAACAAAAAGTGCAAGTTTGGATCAGGTAGGGATGCAAATCAAAGTCACAAACGAATGCATACAAAACTGAATCGGGTGCAAAATTTGTATGTAGTTCATATTTGTATAACAAACAAAAGCCTTAAAATCATATTTCCGGCCTTTCTACACATATCATTCGTTAATATACACTCTCTATCTTTGTATATATCCTGTTATCAAATTTCTTTTATTGTTTTTGGTAAAAAATATATTAAGCAAAAAAAAAAAAGGAAAAAAAAAACAAATAACTTAGGACCAACAAAAGATACCACAAGCAACAGATTCAAATGAGACCAAGAAGAAACAAACACCAAAGTGGATAACTAAATGGGTCAACTAAACAAAGAGAAACAAACAAACAAGGAAAAACAAGAAACAAAGACCTCCACCAACGCAATGCAAAGGCCATTAAAATACGGTTAGCTTGTTTATTCAATGTAGATAGCATGGTCATCAGTTGTGGTAGATTTCGACACTAAGAGCTCCACCAACCAACTTAGGGGCACCAAAAGACCTTCCCTGATTCTACGTAGCCTCTTGCTGTTAGAATTATTCATGGGTTGGGCTTTGGGCTCGGGTTTTGGGCTGGGTCCATTAGAATTTTGATAAAATTCAAGCTCAAGCCTGGCCCATGAACAAGTTAATACTTGCTGTAACTGCATGAGCAGCACCATTTCCCTTGTGCTAGGTAAAGTTGAAGCAGCCTTCCAAATTTTGACATATATGAAGAATACCTTAAAGCAATAAAATGAATTCTTTTAAGGAATGGTCTACCATATAAATGTTCTTGTTTTCATTTGTTTTTAGAAGTGTACATCAATCAAAAAGGCAAAAAAAAAAAATTTCTTAAACTATACTTTTTTATTTTGAAAAGCAAAAACAAATTTGTTTTATGTTTTTTGATTAAAAAACAAGAATACATGTTTTTAAAACCATCAAAATGCTGGTTTTTAAAACAAAAAAAAATTGTAGTACAAAAGTTATATAGTTCTGGAACATGATATTCAATTAATAATAAGATGAAAACACATTCTTTAAACTGGAAATTTAAGAACACAATTTTGGTTTCGGTTTTGAAAACAAAAGGCTGTATTTATGACCAACAACATGTTTTATGTTTTTATTGTTTTAAGAACCAATTTGTTTTCAAATTAGTTGGCATTATTTTATTTTTATACTTATCAGCAAGAAAAACAATTCACATTGGAGAACAACTCTTTAACAATGTTGACCAATCAGAGGCAATCAAATTCCAAGCAAACTCGGTTACACTCCTTTAAAATAAGGGTTCAAACATTCTTTAACATTAATGATCTATGCTTGATGAGCCAAAATTACTCTTGGCCTTCTCATTCATTAAAATTCCTATCTATGATCATTTTAAGCTGGGCGAATTTCTTAAATACTTCTATGGTTTAACTAATTAACTAACTCTATCCTTATTGTTTATATATTGTTTTAAAGTATTCCTACCATTTGTGACAATTGAAATGTCAAATTTACCCTCTACTATTTTCAAATTTTCAAAATAAACACATATCTGATGAAAATTTTGAGGTAGCTGAGGAAACACCACAAGTTCACGCCTCAAATGGAGATCTTTGTCTGCAACTCTGCAAATATGATCTCTATCAAATCTGATCAGTCCAAATTTGGATCAGATTTGACACTAATGGCGGACAGAGTGGAAAGACAGACGATTCCATCCCAAGTTCTCTGTAGTCGTTATGCAACAGCTAATGAGATTTTTCAGTAAATTTTTTTTCGTGAAAAAATAAATAAAAAACATTACCTGAGTTTTCCATTGCGTCTCTAGTTTGATTCATCAGTCATAAGAGGCTTTAATCCATACACTCTATGATGATTTCTTTTGTATCGAGACACTGTATTTGATCACTCTCCTTCATATAGGTATTTCTTCTTCTCCTATAGGTTCAGTCTTTTTGATAGATATTAGATTTGCAGATTAGATAGAATTTGATCTCTGTCAACTCGGAGGAGAACAATCCAAATTCCGATCTCTGTCAAATTTGATCCACCAATTCGGGTAAAAATTGAAATTAAGCAAAAACTAGAGAAAATCACCCCTAGTATTAGACGTATGGATCTCTCAGCCTAGCTCCACAACCATTGGCACCAGCGTTTTCCTTTTTTCTTATGGTCATCCTCATCGACCCTCTCTTCTTTTCCTCTGCCATGGCTTTGAGCTTCGACCTTGGCCAGCCCAGAGATTGTCTTTGCAGGTTGGGAGAAGCAGACAAAGAGCTCTCTCTCTCTCTCTAGTGTTGCATCTTGACAATCACTAGCTTTTTTTTTTTCCTCTTATTTTGGAGAAAGGATATTATTGCCATTTTGTTGAAACTATAATAGTCACATGGTGTGGCATGTGAGCGAATTGTAATGGAATTCTAACGGTAAAAGAATAATTAGTCAATTATTATAAAACTTAAGGGTAATTTAAGACAATATATAAACAATAAAAATAGAGTTAGTCAATTAGCTAAATCATAAGATTAATTTAAGAATTTTACCCTTTTAAAATTTGCTTTAATATGATTTTCAAATCTCAAATTGAGTTGTCAATGGAAGGCAGGACAAATCTTTTGTTTGGATTAGTATCACTTTTTTTTGGATAAATATTGGGTTAAAATCATTAAAATAAGGAAAAAAACTATGCACCGGAAAAACATGATACCGTAAGCGTTTTGTGCAATCAAATTCCCCATGAATTTTAATAAATAGCGGTTACCACTTTATGACACCAGTTATTTGGTTAAAAGTTTTATCCAGTGTAGTCAAACCCTTAATCTTGTTTTCCAGATAATGAAAGAGTTGTTGCAATTGCAACTTGCAAGGATTAAAATGTCCTTTTCTTTTCAACCAAATTATTTTTCAAGTTCACAATTATTTTGGCCCTCCAATTATTGAAAGGACGCATTTTCCACTCTACGGCCTAAATTGCTGCCAAACCAGATACTTCTAACCAAATTGCACGTGACTAGAGCACGCATGATAATTTCTTTGTCCACATTAAAGATTCCATGTTTCATTTGATTTTACACCTCTCCTAACCCAAGCTCTTGCGGTGCAAATTAAATCTGAATGGAATACAAATTTTGAGTCCGGTTCAACTATGCATATAATTTGTACTCTAATGTGATACAAAATTTATATTAAAAAATAATGCAAAAAATTACACCACCTTCCTCCAATCTCAATTCTCCCTCATCTAAAGTGGGAGCCACATCATTTGGCATCTTATTTTATGTCTCAATTTTCACAATTAAATTAAATTAGATTAAATATAAAACAAAAATAAATCAAAATTTACATTCAACTTATTTACAGTTTTGCACTCACTCCAAACAGAAACAACGGAACAACTTGATTTTGGTATCAAAGCTTTCGAACCGTGAAACCACAAGAATGGTCAGGGAAGACTATTATTGCATTCATGGCAAACTTGCAGTGAATGAGAAATAAGCAGAATTAAGGCTTTCCATAATCAGATATAAAAGCAAAACCTGAAGATTCCTAAAGTGCCAAATATAATATTATACCTCGACGTTTGTGCTACCCAAATGGACGAAATGAATGAAGCAGGAAAATAGTTGAATCCAGCTACTACAAGTAATTGAGCCTTTACAACCAAAATTACGTTTTTTGTACGTGGTCAAGAGATTCTATTGGCGGTAGTTTGAATGAGCCTCTCTCTCCTCATCTCATCTCATCTCATGTTGAAACTTAAAACATCAAAACAAAGTTATTGGCTCAACTTGCGTCATCATTGGGATTTGGGGGTGATCATTTCTAGTCCGGCCCAGCTCAGACCACGAATGGGGCTAAGTGTTAGTCCCGGCCCATGATCACCCGTAAAAGGGTAAAGTAGTAAATTCGTAGCAAAGAGCAAGGAAGCTTTAACACCCCAATCGTCAGTCGTCGGGGGGAGACCAGGAATGGTATGGAAATGGAAAGTGTGGGCCCACAGTCCATAGAAACAAAAACTTGTGCGTTGTCATTTAAAGGCTTATCTTCAATAATAATAAAACTCAAAACTCCGCTGGCGTTAATGGCAAGCAATAATAATCACCCACTATAAACACTTACACCGTGGCATTTCAGTACAGTAGATTCCAGTTCGATCTGTATGCCATTTCTTTTACCAAAATATCCCTAACAATCCCCCTTATTTACTGTCACCGCCAGTACTCCGCCGCCTCTCTCTCCTCCTTCCCCAGGCCCCGAAAACCCAAATCCAATCATGACGCAAGAAAAACAACGGACAAAACACTATCCGCTTTGACTAAGGGCACTTTTGTCAACAAAAGTCCACATTCGAAGCGCACGTTCTGTACCGAAAGTTCTTCCTGTGAAGTGACTGAAATGCCCTCCATGATACTGAAGCCAAGGTTCCAAACGAAGGATAACATCGTAAAAGGAAAAATCGAATTCCAGTTCCAACAGATAAAAAAGAAAGAGGATCGGCGCAGAGCATGGAGCAAAAAGGCTGCGGTCGCAGAAAAAAGCGTGAGGGTTAGTTCGGTTGTGTGAGTTTCGGATTTCAGCACTCCGACTTGACGGAATTTGGGAATTCCGTTCACGTCCGATCGGGGTTTCCGTTTCTTGCTCGTTCTATGTTTCTCTAATTCGTGAAATTAGGGTTTCGGACTTTTGAGCAAAAATAACCGAGCGAATTCTTGCCCGTTAGGGTCTAATTGGTCTTCAATTTCTTGCTTATGAAGTGGAACCCGAGATCCGGGGCTACGGGTTTCCTGGAAGATTTATTGCAGTGCAATCTCTGATGTTCTCGCCGCAGAGGAAGGTGTGGTCGGGCTGGTCACCTACGCCGAGTGACGCACAGAAAAATGGTGGCGCGTCTGTTTCAAACCCTAGGAACGGTGGAGGTGGTGATGGAAGTGTTGCGAAGGGAAAAAATGTTGCTTTTCTTGAAGGGCCCTCGCCTCCGCTGGGTTCTCTAGGTGAGAATGGGAGAAGTGCGGTGGTAAGGTTGGAAAGTGGTACTGACAAGGAGGACTGGCAACGGTTTAAAGAGGCTGGGTTGTTGGACGAGGCGTTACTGGAGAAGAAGGACCGGTTAGCGTTTGTCGAGAAGGTCTCCAAGCTTGAAAATGAGGTGCGGTGTTCTTATATTCCATTCTACTCCGCCATTTGTTGTTCCTGTTGTCTAATGTTCTTCACCTTTTTCCTTCAACTCTGATGGGTTTTTTAGTGCATTTGATTTTCCTTCTTTTATTTATGTTTAAGTGGAAAAGTTTGTTTTGCACTTTAGAAAGGTGTGGTTTTTTTTTTTTTTTATTGAAGTGTTTCTTATACTCCATAACTGTTTATAGCGATTAAAACCGAATTAGTGTGATGCAAACAAATTGTTAATGGAAAATGAACGAGTTCAATATACACAAGTCAACAATCAATATGTTTCTCATGCACAGTGTTACACTATTGTCAAAATAATACAGAAACCAATCTTAGTGTTGTAAATAAAATATTTGGACTTTTGGTCTCTTGAAGAGGGTTACTATGTGGTTCTTCTGTTCTGTTACTCGATGGAGTTGTCCAACTATTTCAATTTGTAGGACTATTTGTTTTTTCCTTAGTCCTTAATCTTTCTGGCATGATATGTTTAAATAAAATAGGTTTGACAATCAGTAAGTGGATACCGTCAGTAAGTTTTTTTGGATGAATTTTTTTCTATATGACCACGACCATATTTTTTTCTCATTCCATGTCTCTTGATTCATTGTCTAATGTTGTTAAAATCTTACAATTTATGATACAATTCATGATTTGAATCATGAATCCCAAGGGTTTCAATTCAAATCTTAATATCTTTTGTCTTAATCCTTTTCTGCAAAAATCCTATGGTTTGATTCATAATCTTACTATTTATATGATTCCTATGGTTCATTATCATTCAAATCAATTCAATTAAGAATTAGTTCTCTACTTTGTCTTTTTATTTTGATTATATTTAGTTTTGTCAAGGGTGTCTTGTTTTAAAGACCTTACTGAAAATTGATTTATTTATTTTATTGAAGTCCATACATTGAGTTTATTTTCTATCATATGTTGGATAAAGAGCCATTGTATGTGGATTATTTTTCAAGTCAAACATGATTATATCATCTTAGACTTCTATTGTTTAAGTGGTAAATTTTATCATTTTAGGTACATATATGATAGATATGACTTAAAAATAGGGTAAAACACTTCTCCATATATATTTATCCTTTTAGCATATCTATATTTAAAATTTTGACAAGTTTGTAAAAAATAGAAATAATCTTACGATTTACAATACGATTCACGATTCAATTTTCTCTATGATTTATGATACAATTACGATTTTCAGAGCATTGTTCACTGTATTATAATGAAATATGTTTTAAAAGTGACAGATATGGTTGGGCGACAGGACCAAAGCTTGGGTATATTGACTTAAATCTTGGAGCCTGATAGATTCTCTACTATTGATTGCCTTTTTTTTGGGTTTTGGGTTTGGCAATAGAATGAGTGAAGATTATAAAAGAAGAGTTGCTAATTAGTGGCATCAAAAGTTAGTACCTCAGTGGGCATAGTTACAAATTATGTTGTTGTCAGGTATATTACTAGGTTTAGGATCTTGCATCTGATATGTGATGAGGTCAGTACCGATATTAATGCATTTCTAGTACTGAAGTAATCGAATTATTTGCATTTGAAAGGGCATGCCCAGGCCATTGTTGAATTACTTGTACCAGGGTGTTGACTGTTTCTTTCTTTGACAGTAGAAAAGGATCAATAAAACTGGCTCTATTTCATGTAATGGTTGCACAATTTGAGGCCAATTTTTGACTATTGGTGTCTTCTGTACAGCCTCTTTTTTTTCTTGGTTTTCTAATGGTATCTATTGACATTAAAAGGGTAGAACTGCAGAACAGGATCCATATTGTTGAGCCAACTATACATATAGTTGGGACAAGGCTTAGTTGAGTTGAGTCAAAGTGTCAGACTGTCAGTGTTAGCAGCTACTTCATTTGGTTTGAACTGCTGCCTATTGTGTCTAACCGGGTATTTGAAGAAAACAATGTCTTGAGAATTGGATATTTGAACCCAAAAAATTGGAAATGTGACAGCATTAAAAATCCGTATGTTGGGTTATTTTGATAGTTTGGGCTAGGTGAAACACTGGTTAAAATAGGGAAAACTATATGTTTGCCTTTCCTGTTTGACCTGTACTCAGGTTTCACAACATTGGCAAAAGAGAGGCTGCCTAGCCTGCCTGGCAAGGAAAGGAGTTATTCAATTCTTATGTGATAAAAGAAATTTAATGGTCATTATTAGCAAAGGCATCTTTAGTGAAGGATCACACATTTGAATATCAAAATTTGGTTTTTGCATAATTCTCCTTTCAACCAAGGGATTTGTCTAACAGCTGTTTCAGGGGAATAATATATTAATAACCTACCATATTGCCACGACCAAGCATCTTCCTACCTTACTGGTTGTATGCATGCATTGGATTTGACATGATTCTTGAGGGTTTCCAACTACTGACATTGTTGAGTGGACTCTCCTAAATGGATACGTTAGAAACACATCAGACTCCAGAACTCCATGGATTCTTGAGGGATACTTCTCTATGTCATTTTTCTTTTTTCTCATTGCTTATTTGACATAAATGAATAGTTAATGTACACATTGAATGTTGTTTCCCCATAAAATGTTATTAAGTAGCAAAGATAATCTTTTAAAAGCTTTTTCTGTTGGTTTAGAATGTTAAGTTCATTAAAATATAGAGTATTTTAATAGTTTATGCAACTATACTTGTCTATAGATGTCTCTGCAACTCACTTTTTTTCTTTCTGAGTCAGGCTCCAGGACAAGCATTGAATTCTGATTTGTGTCTGTGTCTATACAACACTGGCTATCAACCTTGAAAAAGCATGGGGATCATAAATAAATGTTATTTACAAAAATACTTCACAAATATAGAACATAGGAATTAAGAGACTGGAATGTTTACTCCTTGTCTTAGAATGCTAAGTGCCAGGATTTTGTCGTTGACTTCAGCTTGGGGTATCATCAGGATATTACAAGAAATGTCTTGCTGATTGCCAAGTTTTGGCATGTCTACTAGACCCATTAATTATAAGTTTTATTGATAACACTGAAGCTGATAGGTTTTGTGTTTGTTCAGGTTTATCCTTAATTTTTAAATAATGTCATGACTACAACAACTAGGTTATTTAACTGCAAAGTGGACGAGTATTGATTGAAACACTGACTCAATATTACATATGCATAACATTGCCCCTCCTTTTATTTGATGATAATAATTATGGTTTTATCAAGCTGAATGACTATATCTCCTTCAAGCCATTATGATTTTCTCATCTGGATAGTTGCTATTTATGTATTTATATTGCTATATCTGTTCTTGAAGTAAGTTAATTTTATAAACTCCCAAATAGTGTATCAAAATAGTCTCTATTTCCCATTGTCATTATTTAATAGTAGCACTTGCTCTTTTGGCTTGATTTGGTATTCATCTAAAGGTGTTCTTTTCCATCAATAGAATTCATATTGCGTATGTTTTTCTTTATACATGAGCTGATTTACCTTCTGCTTTCAACATATTTTCCTCGTATTTTCTTTCAGTTCAAATTTGGCATGCTCTTCTTGCCTGACCAACTCATTTTGTGAGCAGCTTTTTGAATACCAATACAATATGGGACTTCTTCTGATTGAGAAGAAGGAGTGGACTTCTAAATGTGAAGAAACCAGGCAAGCATTATTGGAAGCACAGGAGATCATTAAGCGTGAACAAGTAGCACACTTAATTGCACTATCTGAAGTAGAGAAGCGAGAAGAAAATTTGAAGAAGGCTTTGGGTGTTGAGAAGCAGTGTGTGGCTGATGTATGATATCTGCCTGCTATTGTTTTCTTTTTTCGTTACTTTACTTTGTCTAAAGAATGTTATAGCTTTAAATGATTTTGGGATAGTTACTTATAACTTTTAAATACCCCTTGGCAAAGAATCTATCAAAAAAAACCCCTTGGCAAAGAGAGTTCATGGATTTAATCTTGTTTTCTTGTGGTTGACATTCTCTCTAATTCCCATCTTGTAGAGCATTGCTGTTTGCTTATTTAGTTATTTGTTATTCCTTACTTGGTGGGATTAGGGGAGGCGGTGACATGGAGATATGGTGAGTTGCCTCATGGTTGGGATTAATAATGGAGCTTCTCTTCAAGGATGAAGACTTTGGGAGGGGAAAGAAATGATGGAAAACAGTGACAAGGGAGAAAATTTATTTCATTTTTTGCTATTTTATGAAAGTTGAGTGAATGACAAAAAGTAAAAAAGCTATTTTTTGAACCGATAATATATGAGAGGAATGGTAGAGGTTCTAGAGTAATTATTTTGGAGTTTAGCAATCATATCTTATCTATGACATTTGCTAAATTTAAAAAGGTAGAAAAGCATAAAGGTTGGAGGTTCTTCCTTCAATCCTGTTGCCTTTATTAGTTCTATTTCTCGACTTATGACATGGTTGAATTGATTATGGCTTATTTTTAGGGGTGTTCAAATTCGGTTGATAAACTGAAAACCAAACTGAACCAAACCGAATAAGCAAGTTCGGTTCGGGTAATTCGGATATCGGTTCTGTTCAGTTTTTGTTTTTTAAAAAATCATTTTTTGGTTTCGGTTCGGTTTGGTTGAGATTTTCAACCGAACTGAACCAAAAACAAATTAGTGTTTATTTAATGAAGTATATTAAATATTTAATGTGATCTATTTAATACTTTATGCTAATTAATTATTATATTTCCCAATGACCAATTTGGCAATTTCCCATTGGGCTTTAATTGTTTGTGAATAACTTTTAATTAATAATTGTTAATTAAAACCTAGATTAATCATTAATTGCTCATTAATTATTAATTGTTTTTGAAAAATACCCAATTCGCCAATTCCCCATTGGCATAGGGCTTTGGGCATAGCTTTTAATTAATAATAGCTAATTAATTAAAACCATTGGGCTTTGGGGCATTCTAACTTTTAGTTAATAATAATAGTCAATTAATTAAAACCATTGGGTTTTGGGGCCATTTTAACTTTTAATTAATAGCACTTATTAATTATAAATTATTTATTAGTTGTTGAACAATGTTTATCATTTATGTGAAGTTGGAGCCTAACTGAACTGAAAACCGAACCGAATTCAGTTAGGGTCAGTTCGGTTCGATTGGAGAAAATGGTCAAACCGAATAGTCGGTTGGGTCCTCGGTTCTAACCGAACTGAACCGACTGATTGTACACCCCTACTTCTTTTGGCCAGGATTTTGAGAGGTCCCTGGGTTTATTTTAAGTATTTAGTTGTGCGTAGTGTAAACTCAACTCGACTCAAAGAAGCTTTCCTATTTGGAGTTACATGATCCTGTCTTGCTGTGCACTCTATAAAGGGTTGAGTGATTGCACCAGTCATTGACCAGCTATGCACATGGACAACCCATCTCAGTTGACATTCTCTCATCTTGTCACCCATTGGGCAACTCTTAAGTTGTTGCTGATGTGTTAATTCCTCATTCTATCATTTCCAGTATTTCCACCTGTGCATTTTATCATCTTCATCTCAGCAACACTCATCTTTTCCAAATCAATTTCGCAGCCACACTTAATCTTGATATATATATATATATATATATATATAAAAAAATTCTTCTTTAATTTGAATAATAATAATGCTCTTGAGGCATTTTTTAACTTCCTATTTGTAGGTTTCTCTATTAGTTTCCTTATCTCTTTCTCTATACCCACCCACTTATGTGCACTGTTCTGGTAAAAGATATCTGGTTCATTTATAACAAATATAAATGGACATTCTGCCAGACTATTATGTTGTCATTCACTCTCCTTGTTTCCTGAACATGTGGGGTCCTGCAGCTTGAGAAGGCTTTACGTGAGATGCATGCAGAGTATGCAGAAATTAAATTCACATCTGATACAAAGTTGTCTGAAGCAAATGCATTGGTTGCGAACATTGAGGATAAGTCGTTGGAGGTAGAAGCAAAATTGCGTGCTGCAGAGGCCAAGGGTGCTGAGGCAAATAGAAAGATTTCAGAGATAGAAAGGAAGTTGCAAGAGGTGGATGCTCGTGAGTGTGTCCTTCGAAGAGAGCGCCTGTCCCTAAATGCAGAGTATGCACTATTATGTCCAGACCAATTTATTTTTCATATCCATTGGATAATATCATTTTCCATCTTTATCTTGTAAAATCTGTCCATTCTTTTCTTAGGCGAGAAGTGCAGGAGACAGCTTTGTCTAAGCAAAGAGAGGACTTGAGAGAGTGGGAACAGAAACTGCAGGAGGGAGAAGAGAGGCTGTGTGAGGGTCGGAGGATTCTGAACCAGAGAGAGGAGAAGGCAAATGAAAAAGATAGGATTCTTAAGCAGAGAGAGAAGGACCTCGAAGATGCTGAAAAGAAGATTGAGATTACTAATGTAACTCTAAAAAAGAAAGAAGATGACATAAATGTCATACTAGCAAACCTAGCTGTGAAGGAGGAGGCATGTTTCTGTTCTTGTTGAGATACTCCTAAATTCTTGTTAATCCATACCCATGCATCTGACACTTTTCTTTTGTTTCTTTTGGTGCAGGAAGCTGATACTGTCAAAAAGAACCTGGAGATGAAAGAGAAGGAATTGCTTATGCTTGAAGAGAAGCTAATTGCTAGAGAAAAAGTGGGTTCTTATCCCTATAACACTGTTATACCAGTTTTGAGTTATTAGATTTCCGAATTTCTTCTTTAGCTGTGGTTGACACTTCACACTATTTGTTTCCCTGCAGATGGAGATCCAGAAGCTCCTTGATGAGCACAACTCCATTCTGGAGAAGAAAAAGCATGAGTTTGAGTTGGAATTGGAGCAAAAGAGGAGATCTCTGGATGAAGAGTTGAAAAACAAGGTAGTTGCATTGGAGCAGAAAGAAGTTGAAATTAACCACAAAGAGGAAAAACTTGGCAAGCGGGAGCAGGCATTGGAAAAAAGGTTGGAGAAATCCAAGGAGAAAGAGAAGGACCTTGAGTCAAAATTGAAAGCCTTGAAAGAAAGGGAGAAATCTCTAAAAGCAGGGGAGAAGGACTTGGAGATGGAGAAGAAACAAATGCTTTCTGATAGAGAAAACTTGCAGATAAGTAAGGCTGAAGTTGAGAAGATAAGAGCTGACATTGAGGAGCAGCAGTTGAAGATATGTGAAGAGAGGGAAAAGCTCAAAGTAACTGAAGATGAGAGGGCTGATCATGTTCAGCAGCAATCACAGTTGAAGCAAGAGATGGATAAATACAGGTTTGAGAAGGAATTGTTTTTGAAGGAAGTTGAGGATCTGAAGCAGGAAAGGGAGCATTTTGAGAGAGAGTGGGAAGTGTTGGATGAGAAGAGAACTAAAGTTATGGAAGAGCTAAAAGAGATGAATGAAGAGAGAGAACGGCTGGAGAAGCTGAAAACCTCTGAAGAAGAAAAATTGAAAAATGAAAGGCTGGCAATTCAGGATTCAATCCAGAGGAAGGAGGAAGCTCTCAAACTGGAGAAAGAATCATTTGCTGCCAGCATGGAGCATGAGCGATTAGTGATTTCTGAAAGAGCACGGAGTGAGCATGATAAAATGCTTCGTGACTTTGAGCTGCAGAAAAGGGAGTTTGAGGCTGATTTTCATAATAGGCAGGACAAAATGGAAAAACACCTGCAGGAAAGAGAAAGGGAATTTGAAGAGAAAAGGGAAAGAGAACAGAATAATATTGATTTCCTAACGGAAGTGGCACGAAGAGAAATGGAAGAACTGAAGTTGGAAAGGCTTAGAATCGAAAAAGAAAACGAAGAAGTTGCTGCAAACAAAAGGCATCTTGAAGGATACCAGATTGAAATGCGGAAAGACATTGATGAACTTGGTATCTGTAGCAGGAAGCTTAAGGACCAGAGGGAACAATTTATGAAGGAGAGGGAACGCTTCCTTGCATTTGTAGAGAAGCACAAGAATTGCAACAGCTGTGGAGAATTAACAAGTGAATTTGTTCTCTCTGATCTCTGGACCCTTGCTGAAATTGATGATGCAGAGGCACTTCCTCTGCCAAGACTGGCCACAGATTATCTAAAGGAGTCTATTCAAGGTAGTGGTGCTAGTGCTGAGAGGACAAAAATTGAAGTGTCTCCTGGAGGGTCAGTTTTGGCTTCTCCTCCTGGTGGACGCATGTCTTGGCTGCGGAAATGCACATCGAGGATATTTAACCTGTCCCCGATCAAGAGGAATGAGCAAGTTGCTGGTCAAGGACTGCATATGGAATCCCCATTTCTTGTTCCAGAAGTTAATGTAGAAAAAGAGACATCAAAAAGATTAGTTGTCACTGAAGATGAACCAGAACCAGAACCATCATTTGTGGTACCTAGTGATTCTTTTGATGCCCAGAAGATCCAGACAGATAATAGCATCAGAGACTTGCAAGCTGAACCTACTTTGTCTGTTGGTGAACAGAGTAACATGGATAACATGGCACAAGAATTTCCAGAAGATTCCCAACAATCAGAGCTGAAGAGTGGAAAGCGCAAATATGTGAAGAAACACAAGCCTGCTCAAAGAACACATTCTGTAAAGGCAGTTGAGGATGCAAAGACCATTCTTGGGGAAAACCGAGAGGAGGATAAGAATGCACAACCAAATGGTAATGCACAGCCAAATGGTAATACTGAAGATATTTCCAACCTTAATGAGGAAAGCCAAGGAGATTATGGTGTTGCAAGCATGGGGCGGAAGCGTAACCATGCTCATGTTTCTGTAACCACTGTGAGTGAGCAGGATGCAAATGATAGTGAAGTGCACTCTGATAGTGTTACAACAGGTGGACGGAGGAAGAGGCGGCAAATAGTTGCACCAGCCATGCAAAAACCAGGTGAAAAGCGGTACAACCTAAGGCGGCATAGAGCGTAAGTATCTATTTTGGTATTACATATACAAGTTATGCTGATGATGGTCAATCTTCTGCCATATTTTTGAATTTGTTTTGGAAGTATTCGTTTTTTTTTTTTCTTTTTTTGATGTTTCCTAGTCATTATCACTTTGGTTACTCCACATCTAGTTGGCCATTGCCAATATTCTCTGTATTTCCTTAGTCAGTATATAGTTGGTTGTTCTCAACATTGCATCTAATTTGGTGATTAGTGCGGGTAGAGCTGTATCAGCAGCCCAAGAAACATCCAATCTGACGAAAGGAACGAAGGTGACTGATGGCGGTGATGCAACTAGCGAAGAAGCTTCTAAACCGGAAGCTTCTATTACACCTCCACAAGTTAGCGAGAATGGACAAAATGCACATGTGGTGCCGGTGACAACAAGAGAAAGTATAGTGGAAGTTCATGAGTTCTCAGCAGATGGGGTTGTCAGAGTAATCTCTCTCTCTCTCTCTCTCTCTATATATATGTGTGTGTTTACATCTGCACTCTTGTGACTTGGCTGACTCGTACCTATTTTGTTATTTTTTTTCTCAATAGCAGTTTGAGGCAGCAACTGATGGTGACAATGCCGATGTGGCAAAATCGAATGAAAATGTGGAATTTAGTGATGAAGTGAACGGAATAACAGAAGGGGCTACTGAGTATGGTTATGAGGAAGAGTATGCGAGTGAAGTTGGTGAAGATGAGGGTGAGGTGGAAGATGAGGATGGCGACGAGTCCGAGCATCCTGGTGAAGTGTCAATCGGGAAGAAGCTATGGAAATTTTTCACGACATGATTAAATTCCACTTGCATTTTTAGCAATACCGGAGATGACGAGTCTTGACTGCATCAAGTTTTTAGAGCTTGCTGTTAAGAGCGCTCTCTGGTGTAATGTGTATTAACATTTGGAATATACTGTAACTAGAGATCTTCATTTCAAGTTGGGGTAGGATGATAGGACTCTCATTCTTGTTTCTTTTTGTTTCATTTTTCTTTTTCTTGTTTTGGTTTCCTTCTTTAGGATATTGGGCTGTTCTATTATTTACGACACGCCTGGTTGATTGGATATGGTAACCATGGTCCAGTCCACAACATTGACACTGGGAACCTGCCTTGTCCATTGCCTAAATTGTTTGTAACAACTACTGTATTTTACCTTTTTTTTTTTTTCATTTGAAGCATATTTATTTTCCAGGGTTCAGTGATCTCTCGATGAGTCGGTTCTTTTAGTTTTTTTTTTTTTTTTGGAAAACGGATCTTTAATTTCATTTGAAGCATTTATTTGTCTTAAAGTTGGTTCAGTTTATGATATTAATAAATTATCTGATCTGACTCATCTGAGCGTAGGTATTGTTGTCTAGTTAATTTCTACTGTGCTGTATTAATCTCCTCCGTTTCATCTTCATGCAGAACGATGCACCTCCTATTAATCTTCTTGTCTTTTCCCGTTTCATCTTCATTCAGAAAGATGCACCTTGCCAAACAGTAATATAGCACCTTAGTCATTTTTTTGGAATGTAGATTTTCGGTAGATAGATATTTCTCCAACCAAACAGAAAAAGACGAAAATATGGGTTATTAGACTTTTAAACAGTTGATAGTCTGTGCAGAAAAATGCACCAAACAGGGCCTAAATCAAGCCGGAGCTGTTATTTGATTTGTTTAATGTTCTTTTGATCTATTATATATATTAAAACGGGAAGGATTGGGGTCTGGGCGACGTGGTCATTTTTACATGTCCGCACATAAATTTGATTAAAGCGTGCCAGTTTTGCTCAAATGAATTCACGTAGTGGATAGTCACACGTTGTATATTCGTATTGTGAACACCGTTTGAGGCATGTGTGAGGAGATATTTATTGAATCTTCTCCATCTCATCTTTCACTTTTGCCTTAAACAATCTAATTACGTGTTGCCTAATCTTTCATCTATTAGTACGTATTGCCCATTTAAAGTTCTACCACTTTATCAAATTAGTGTCAGTTAAGTTAAAGGAGTATCAGAACATGTTGCCCTCCTCCTCCTGCAAATTTACCACCCAAGCGATGCCCTTCTATGATGATGGGAGGATAGCTTCGTGTACACTAGACCCAGCAGTGTGTAAATCCACTTCAACTGCCATCATTGCTTGTACCGCCTTCAGCCACAGTTACGAGAGCATCGCTTCTGAGCTCTATGCCAACGGATGACAATACTACAATTTGTTGTTGAACCAGAATATATGGATTGATGCGGAGAATTCAGCGGCTCCGATGCTTCCACCTGCGATGGGCTCATTGCTGGCCGAGCTGTTTGTGCCGACACCAAGTGTTGGTTAGGATGGACAAAATCAAGGGATCCTGTTGGTCTTCAACTTGGATTCAGAAGTTTGAGCAAGCAAGTTTAAAGAAATTTCCAGAGCTTTTGGTATGAATTGCCAATGAATAACCAAATACCTACCCTTAGTATTTACTTGAAATTGGCCAACTGATGATATAATTTTCTGGGTTTTGATTGATTTAATGTTTTCTTTCTCTGAATGTTTTAACATATCTTTTTCAGTGGAAAAACAAAATAAAAGTGAATCTTTTTCGTTATTGGTTGATGGTGATAGGATGGCTTATCTATTTATTTATTTTTAATTCACAGCTTTTTATTGAACGATTTTGTAATAATTTAGGGGCTGGAATTGGAAGAGAGATGCCATCCAAACAGTTAGTGGAATTGTTTGATGTTAGAGATGCAATTAAAGCTCCTTCGTGTTGCTGGTCATGGAAAAAGGTTATTGAACACTACTGCTACCAGCGCCACCAGTAACACCAACAAAACTACCACCTCTTCTAATATTAAACAAGAAGCTCCTACCCCACAAGGAGTAAGGAGTAGGAATTACCTCCACCATTGCCCCCTAGATTTTTGGGTCAGTCAACCTCCGATGCTTCTCTAACGCAGCTAGCCTTCTCAAATTCAACACCCGAATAAGAAACAAGGTTTTACTAGTACGAATTTTGTTAATTGGAACAGCAATTCGAGATCAAATTATGGAACTCCAGAAGTCTTAGCCGGTCGCATGGGTCCATAGACTGATTCAATCTCTGAGAATCTTAGACAGATAAGGGTTTCAAACAACCAGCTCAGCTTACGGGTTCTCTTCTACGGTCCATTGACAACTTTTCTATCATTCAGAATCTCCTCCTGGATGGGAATTGGTTATCCAATAACATTTCGGCTAGGATAGATAAGTAGGAACAGTTTTATGTTAGAGTTGGGTCCAGGGACGTTTATTCTTGTAGTCCTTGAGAGAGGCAACGAGAAAATTTCAGCAGGCAGTGCCACTCCCGTGCTCAGCACGGGTTACTTCGCTAGTGTTGTATTAACGGGAGAAAGATTGGATGGAACAATTGATATGAGAAAGATTGGATGGAACAATTGTATTAACGGGAGAAATATTGGATGGAACAATAGAGAGGGCATAAATGGGACAAGGGAAAGAACGAGTGAATGGAGAATGCCACGCGTCAGTCTCTCCGTTCTCCCCTGGCCTCTTGCTATGAGAAGACCAAAAACATTGATAGAGAGAGAGAAAGGAAAAAGACTACCCGATTTAGAGAAGAGAGAGAGAATGGAGAGCGCCATGCGTCAGTCTCTCCCTTGAGAGAGAGAGAGATAGGGTATATGTTTGGCATCGTCGCATCGTGCTATAGCACCCTTTTGTAGAGAAAGAAATAAGGTATTTATTTGGTATCGATGAATACCGTTTTCAAATTTTTTTGTTTGGAAACGTTGCTGTCAGGTAGGATGTTTCCTGAATTAACAATAATACTTTCTGTTTGATACCAATGCTTTATATTTGTTTTCATCATTGGTTACCATTATAAGAAGTCCATATCACTGTTACATCATGTTCTCGTTGGCAGCAACGAGCTCCAATATGAGAAAATGTTGATTCGGTATTGTTCCAAACCATGCTTTTTCGATTTCTAAGGCATAGCTTGGAGTACTGTTTTTTATGAAAAAACGGTTTCAAACATATTGACATTTCTTGGAGCATCGTTTTTTCCAACGTGATAATGATGTATCACCATTTTTTGGAGCAATGACATCGATGCCAAACAAACACAAGACTAACCGAGATTAAATGACAATAAATGTAATTTACACCACCTTCAACACCATACTCTGCCGTTTACTATGTGATTCCAAATACCAAACCCATAGGCTACCGCACGTTGGTTTTTCCGTTCTCATGTTTTGCTATAAGAATATACTAGCGGAGGGGCCCTTGTGTTGCAAGGGCTTGCAAAAGCTAAATTATTGTATAGGAAAAAATGAATTTGTAAAAAGTAATTTTTTTAATTAATAGTTTTTAGGAAAAAAGGATTTACTTAAAATAAATAGAAATTTATGGATAATAATATATTTAATTTAATTTAATAAAATAAAACAATAAATAAATAAATAAAATTTTCATTTTTGAAATCAATTTAATATAAATAAATAAAACATTTTTGTTGTTAAATAAAGAATACAAATATTTTTTTCTCAATTTCTTGGCTGGGCTTTGGGCTTTATATGGGGGGTCGAGAATGGGCTCAAGATCTAGGCCTGATGGTTCGGTTATGCTCAGGCTTGGGGATGAATATGTTCCGTTGATATAAAGGCAAAGCTTAGTGTGGCTTATGAATAGGTTTAATCCCAACCCTTGGGCGAAGACAAGGGGACCCAGGAGCCATGGCCCCCCTATGGCCCAACAAATCCCCACTCATCATGTATATTTTTCCATTCCCCCCACTCCCCACTTTTGGTTGCCCCCCTAATGGCCATCCATATTTATTCTCCTTACCCCCAAATCCACTTAGATTTTGGCACCTCTCATAAAAAATTTCTAGCTCTCCTCCTGTCCGACCCAAGCCTAACATATTTGATAACCCTAAATTACATGCCCCCCTCCCCCCCCCCCCAATCCACTTAGATTTTAGCCCGAAAGAGAAATAATTTGTTAGTAAAATAAATTAACTAATTGAATAATTTAGTAAATTAAATAAATAGAAATATATAGATAATAATTTACTTAATTTTGTAAAATAAATAAATCAATTATTTATTGTAATAAAATAAATAAGTAACTATTCATTTATTATTGGGACATGACTAGTCCAAGTTATGTAGAACCAAACCCGACCCATTAACAACCCTAAATATTGGGTGTATGTTGAATTAAATAAATAAAAAATATGGATAATAATATATTTAATTTAATAAAGTAAAATAATAAATAACTAATTAAAATTTTCACTTTTTAAGTCAATTTAATATAAATAAATCATTTTTGTTGTCAAATAAAGAATACAATTTTTTTTCTCAATTTCTTGGTCGAGCTATGAGCTTTATATGGGGGTCGGGCTTAGGCTCAAAATCTAGGCCCGATGGTCCGTCATGCTCAAACTTAGCTTTACGTTCGATTGATATAAAGGTAAAGGTCACATCTCGACGTGACCCCCACCCCCCCTATATTGGGCTCAAACCTACCTATTGATAGCCCTAAATATAGGACTGCCAACGGGTTGGGTCTGGGTTAGAATCAATTGGAAAACCGACCCAATATGATATGTTGAGGACCTGGATCTGGATCCAACCGAACCGATTGGTTCTCGAGACAATCGGGTTTGACTAGACAAACCCGATTATAATAAATAAAAAAAATAAATATTTATGTATAATATATATTAAATATTCTATATATTATATGTATAGTATATATATGATTTATTTATTTATTTAATATATTATACATTATATACATATATTCTAAATCGATAGTAATTGGGACACTATATTAGGACCCGAAATCGATCCGTTGGTTCTAGTTCCCGGAACTAGAACTGGCCCAATCAGTTTGGGTCCATCGGGTCCGTTGGGTCAAACCCGACCCATTGACAATCCTGCTTAAATATTGGGCTCAAAGGGAGAGAATAATTTGTTAATAAATTATTTCTAAATAAATAAATAAATTAATAAAATAAATGAATAAATGTCTATTAAAATATTTTCTCAATGTTAACTCGCCTTTATTTTATTGATTTATAAATAATTTATTTAATTTTATTAGCTAAATAAATGTCCAGACCCCCGTACTAAGTATATGGCCATTGATTTGAACTATTTAAATTAAAAAAAACCATCTATATTAGAAATTTAGGTTCGGTTTTTATTTGATTTAAAAGACC